AAACGTAAATTAATTTTCTGAGCGAATATTCTGATTACTTTACGCAATTGTTGCTTGAAATGGAATAATTTGGAGAAGCAATAAACTGTTAATATGTATTTTAATGTTCATGTTAATAATGTAAACGTAATATTGTGGCGTTAATATTGTAACGCTGATAATGTAACTTTATTATTGTGACGTTAATATTCTGCCGTTAATATATTGTAACTTTAATATTGTAATCTCCATACTTAAGATCATCCATTCATACATCTTAACATTCTAACGTTAATATTGTAATGTTAACATTGATATCACAATATTAATATCAATATGATATTATTAATAATTATATTAAGTAATATACTACTATATTACTTATAATAATATTAATAAGTAATTATAGTAATATAATTATATTAAGATTAATATCGATATGATATTAATATTGTGACGTTAATATCGTAACCTTAATATTTTAACATTAATATTCTAACGTTAATATTATAACGATGATATTATTGTAATTCTAGTGTTCCAACATTAATATTGTGACGTTAATATTGTAGCCTTAATGTTGTAACGTTGATATTGTAGTGTTAATATGCAAAGCCAAGAAATTCTTCCTAACCCTAGAAGGGAACTATTCCACCGCTAGCTGAACGGCAATCACAATAGTGACCCACCCCGCTCCGGCATCGAAACGTCATCAATTTGGAACGATTGCGATGGAATGTACGGCTGCTATGAACAACGATCTAGTCTGTCCTTTCGAAAAACAGGCTGTAAAAATGGTCAGCGGGTTCTTTCGCGGTCCCGGGTCTCCCCGATCGGGGAACCTTCGACCTGCGTCTCTGTTTCAATAGCATTGTCCTGTTAATTCGAAAGCATAACCCCACCCTGACACTAACGCGAGACGCCACCGGATCGTTCGGCCTCTCCGCAGCTTTTGATCCGATCCCGTGCACGGTTTACGACACACCAGGGAAATGGAATCAATGCGCAACAATAAACGGGACCCCTTTGTCTTTGATTTACTTGGCCAACCCGATCGTGCGTGGCTTTCCGCATACGGACAAAGGGAACGGACTTATCGAGCTCGCGCGGTTTTGTGGTTTAAATAATTAAGGAAGTCTTTCAACGATGGCTTTGAACACTCGCCCGGCCAATCGTACGGATCCTAGGCGGAAATGATTGATATCGAAAAATTCGGATTATCTGCGAGGAACAGAAGTCGCGGGAATATCTTGCGGATTTGTTGAACCTGCTTGAAACTATTGGGTCGTTCGGAAAGTTGTTTCGTTCTTCCGCGAGAAAATGAAAGACGATTTTTTAAATGTCACGAGTAAAAGCAAACTTTTCGACATTTTTCTGGTAGCTTTGGAATCTTATTGTTTTACATGTAGAAAGATACTGAATGATGCGTTTTTTTAACACCCTTACAAAATGAAATCTTTATGAAAAACGAAACAACTTTCCGAACGATCCAATATTTGCTGACGATTGTGGTTAGCAATCGAAAAGTGGTTTAATAAAGTAGCTTCCGATTCGTTTCGTATTCGCATTCCTTGTTTAGCATTATACTGCATTTATTTACTTCTGCGTATTTTTATATATTATACATTGACACGCAACAAGTGAGAAGAGAGACATTGGCATGAAAGTTTCGTTTAATTATGATAAGATATATTTGGACTTTTATACGCCTAAAAGTGGGAGCACTTATAATTAAATTGTATATGAAATTGTGCATGACAGGAATGAATATTTAAATTGTACGTGATAAGTAAACTGTGAATTTTGTGCATTTATAACAACATTGAGCATGTGCAATTTAAAATTTTAAAGAGCTGATATGAAATTACGAACGCCAGAATATTATTTTCAATAAATCAAGATCATCGAACAAAAGATTCTTTATTTTGTTCCTACTTATTGCAAGTATAAACCAGGAAATTTCTATTTTGCATTAGATCCACAGTCTAATGATAATTGAAACGTATTATCTAATTTGCATTCGTGATTAAAGAATAGTTGACAGAAGATTGTAGACAGAGCTACCATATCAAAACTTCTCTGGTGTATGTGTTTTGAACTAATTACACACATCTGTAGTACAACTTGAAAGATCGAAAGATAAATGTTTAATTAAAGCTTTTTCCATATGTGAATCGAATTTTATTCAACCGCTGCTGTGCTAACAGCATATGTTTCTTTGTAATCAATCGCTTCTCGGTCATTTTTCCCGAATGCGCGTTACTGAACACAGAAACTGGCGTTTTTATCACTATCGTTGCGATACTGAGAGATCCATATTTTACGTAATTGCACTTATATGAATTATGGTTTTTATCTGGCGTTCTATTTATATTGTAAACAAATTTATTAATTTTGTTGCCAGTATATTTATCTGTTAAATATTTGCCTCGATCATTAAATGTATAATTTCTACCGGTTACCGTACGCAAAATATCCAGTTAAATACTTCCAATTCATCATTGATTTCGTTTATAGATTTTTATATCTCAGAATTTAAAATTTTAGACGAAATCGATATATCGTTAAGTTTTAAGATTTTTGATAGAAATAATTGTCGATTTTTCATTATCAATTATAGAATATTATTTTAATATTAAATTTAGAAATTTAAATTACTATCAAACTGGAATTGTTATAAACTAAACTAATTCATTTCCTAGATTGATTAATTTTTTTATCGCGCGAGAAACCTCCTTCTATGAAATATACGTGTAATTCGAGACACGAATATTAATCTCGCTACTTTTAATTTACAATGATATGATCACATTGTTGAATCTTCATGCATACTTCAATATTTAAAATGTAATAATTTAATATGTAAAATTTCTTTCATTCGCTGAAACGATCCCTTAATACATATAAGCAGAAAATAAGAATATTACGTTGAAAGGCATTCTACCCTAATTAACTGACTCTTGTTTTGACAACCGAATGAGAGAATAAATTTGGAGTTGTATTATTTATCAATGTTTGCACACAACTCTAACTGCATAACATTCTTGTATCTTAGAAATTTACACATGCGATAAACGCATAAATATCTGCAGTGTATAACATGTTATGAATTCATCGAGGAAAGCTCCAAATAAATTAAGAAATCTAGCTGCATAACGTGTCAATTTTGATGCAAACAAATATGTTCCTGTATTTTAGAAGATCGCACAAACAAATTAAAAAATCCAGCTACATAACGTGTCAATCTTCGTAAACAAAGACATGTTCCCGCATTTCGAAAGTTCGCCTAAACTAATGAAAAATTCTAACTGCGTAACCTGTCAATTTCCATAAATAGAAACATGTTCCTGCATTTTAGAAGTGTCAACAACGCGTCGATCTCCACGAATGGAAACACGTACCAGCATTTTCGAAGACCGCGCGAATAAATTAAAAAATTCTAGCCTCGTAACGCGTCGATTTCCACGAATGTAAACCCGTTCTCGCGTTTTAGAAGATCGCACAAACAAATAGAAAAAAACCAAGCTGCGCAACGTGTCAATTTTCATAAATAAGAACATGTTCCCGCATTCTAGAAGTTCACCCAACCGAAGTAAGAAATTGATCTGTCTAACGTGTCAATTTCCATGACCACAAATCCATAAAGGTCAGCATCGCACACCATATTCGAAATTCCCCGCAGTCCGGAAACCCCAAACAAAATGAAAAAAAATCTCCGGAGCGTCTAGTTGATTGTTTCAGACAATAGAGAGAGAAAGAGAGAGAAAGAGAAAGAGAGGGAAATGGAGAGAGACATCGGTGTTCCCCTGGAAGAGAAAAGTTTCTCGGCTTACCCGCCTTACAGATGTCCACGTCCAGGTCATCGCTGATGCCGTGCGGAAAGTTCGTGTTGAGTAGCTCGTCGACGGTGAACTTGCGCCTGTGTCTGCCGAACTCCTTCTCCGTGGAGTCAGCGTCGACGGCCCGGCAATCGGCGGCGCGCCGATTCGCCAAGCAGAGGATCGTGATCACCACCAGCAGTCTCATCTCGAAATCGTGGATCGTGACAACGGCAACGGGAGCGGTACCAGTTACCACTTAGGCCATAGAAGACCGATCGCGCCACCGTCTACACCGATGCATTTGCCACTGTTTCGGTTGCACCTTGCTCGGTCGCAGCTTAATCGGACGCACCTAGGTTAGTTGCACTCGGGTCGGTTGCAACTACGTCAGTTGCACCTAGGGTGGTTGCACGAAAGGGTCCCGGCGCACGAGACGCGGGAAAAGCTGTGTGGAGCCGAGACGATCGCCGATCACATCTCCGGACCAAGGAGACCCTCTGCGGGAGCAGCCCTTGGGCAGAGCGATCGGGTGACCTTGGTCGGGCACTCAACAAAAAGAAAGGAGATCGATCGCTAGGACAAAGAAGACCCTAGGAACGGTCAAACCCTTCTGTCTCCCTTTTTCGATTTCCCGCAAACGAGAGAACGATGGAACGAGAGAACGTGGTCGCCGAGAGTGATGTTCGAACACGAGCTCAGAGCACGAGGAATAGAGCCGGGACGACACAACGACGGACCGCGTCGGGAACGTGATCGCTACTGAGGCTCTGTCCGCATCGCGATCGGGCAACTTCACCAGCGCGCGTCATCGACGGTGATAAGAGAAGATGATCTCTCGAGCAGACGGGAAGGCAGCGGGAGAGCGCGGTCAAAGTTCGTGTCACAGATTAGAGGATCGCCGACGGCGGTCGTCCTTGCGTGGAGAACGTGGAGAACAGACTGATCGTCCCTCAAGCGGCCGACACGACGAGAGCGTCGTTCGAAAGCGCGCGCTGAAGAGGAGGAGGCGGATGAGGAGGAGGAGGAGGAGGAGGGAGCTGTGTATGTATATCTAGAGGGGATGCCGGGAACAACCAGTCTCCTCCCTCGCAAACCCGCACGGCACGAGGGTGGCCGAGACACTGACCGAGCTTCCGTGGCTCCGGCACCAGCGAACCCTAAAGAATCCTTGCCACCCGAAAGACACCCACGCCACTATCGAAACCGGTATTTCCTAGTCGACGTTGCAAACGTTTCAGTCGTTCATACGGCAAATAGATCGACCACACTTTTTTTAGACGTTAGTGTCCTAGTACCTTGATTGGCTTATGAACTTTTTAGCGTTGAAATAAATTTCCTTATTGTTGGGCTTGACGTCGTGGAATGAGGAACATTTTGTTAGGCGTGGGATAATAAACAATTTATCAATATTTTATTATTATCATTGATCTATTTATTATTGTGTATTCATATTAAACAGTTTATTATGTGCATGTTGGACAATTTATTATTGCATATGCGTATTGGACAATTTATTATTAATTTTGTTATCATATGTACATACTAGATAATTTATTATTGTGTATTTATATTAGACAATTTATTATGTATATGCATGCTAGACAATTTATTATTGCATATGCGTATTGGACAAGTTATTATTAATTTTGTTATCATATGTACATACCAGAGAATTTATTATTGTATATTAGACAATTGGCTATCAGACATGTCTAATAGATAATTTATTATTATAAATATATATTAGACAATTTANTATTATTGTGTATTTATATTAGACAATTTATTATGTATATGCATGCTAGACAATTTATTATTGCATATGCGTATTGGACAAGTTATTATTAATTTTGTTATCATATGTACATACCAGAGAATTTATTATTGTATATTAGACAATTGGCTATCAGACATGTCTAATAGATAATTTATTATTATAAATATATATTAGACAATTTA